AGCAGCACCCACAGCTGGAGGTGAGGAAAGCAGAACAGCCCCACCGGCCCTGGCCAGTGCACAGCCCGGCTCAGCACAATGTAGTTCTGGCTGCAAGGCCGGGGACTGCATGGTGTGGCACGGAGCCAGTATGTCCCAGCCCGTCTGCTCTGTGCTGCACCCTGTGGGTCCCAGCCTTGCAGTGGGGAACCACAGCTGCTGGGATAGGTTGGGCCAGGCTGACTCTGTGCAGCACTATGCAGTTCCTGGTTACAAGGCTGGGACACACCAGGTGCAGAATGAAGCCAGCCCAGCTTATCCTGGCTGCGGCACATAGTTCCCCACTACAAGACTGAGACCCACGTGGCACAGCACAGAGGAGCTGGGCCAGGCTGGGCTGGTTCTGAGCTGTGCTGTGTCGTCTCTGACCTTGTAACCAGAACCACGGTGTGCCAGGCCAGGATGGGCTTCACTCGCCTCTAGCTGCAGCTTGTGCTGTGCTGCACCACACTGCTCCCCATGCACTGGGCAGGAGCCTCCCACTGAAGCTTCCTGCCTGCCCATACAGAGTTACATGGTGCGGTGTAGCAGGGGCAGGTGTAGGGGCAGCCACAGCAGCACTCACAGCAGCACCCACAGCTGGAGGTGAGGGAAGCAGAACAGCCCCACTGGCCCTGGCCAGTGCACAGCCCAGCTCAGCACAATGTGGCTCTGGTTGCAAGGCCAGAGACTGTGTGGTGCGGCATGGAGCCAGTATGTCCCAGCCCGTCTGCTCTGTGCTGTGCCCTGTGGGTCCCAGCCTTGCAGTGGGGAACTACAGCTGCTGGGGTAGGTCGGGCCGGGCTGACTCTGTGCTGCATTGTGCAGTTCCCAGTTACAAGGTTGGGACATACCAGGTGCAGCATGAAGCCAGCCCAGCTTATCCTGGCTGCAGCACATGGTTCCCCACTACAAGACTGAGACCCATGTGGCACAGCACAGAGGAGCTGGGCCAGGCTGGGCTGGTTCTGAGCTGCACTGTATCGTCTCCAGCCTTGTAACCAGAACCACGTTGTGCCAGGCCAGGATGGGCTGGCCCCGTGCTGTGTCATATGGGTCCCAATCTTGCACCCGGAAACTGTGTGCTGCAGCCAGGATGGGACAGGCAAGGTTGACTCCTCACCTCCCACCATACTGCCAACATGTACCCACACCCTGCCACCATAGCCCTACACACAGTCCCACCCCCCCCACCATAACCCCACACACACTCCCACACCCCCCACCATATCCACACACACATACTAACACCCTCCCACACACTTCAATCCCTACCATACCCCCAGACACACTCACACCCTTCCACACACTCCTACCCCAACCACATAACCCCCATCCATACCCCTTCACACCCCACATACACCCCCATACCCTCACACCTACTTCCCAACCACAGAGTCCCCAAATACAAGCCCCCTTAGCCCCCCAGTATGCAAGAGTAAGTGTATTTTGAGTAATTATGCAATCACCTGTGGATACACTATGCAAACACACATAAATTGGGACAAAAATTAATTTTTAAATAAAATTAAAATGAGTTATAATAGATGTTTGATTTTTTTAGTACATGATTTGGGTTTTTTTCCAGTTTCAAGATGTCAACCCTGCTCTCAAAGTGGGTACTTTTGGGGTAAAGGGAGGGATTTCTGGTGGAAAGGTCAGGGGCAAGATTTCCAGGCCCAAGATGGTGACCAGAAGGCGGAGTAACTGTCAGGGGTCGGGCGATCCATGCAGCCCTCGACAGCTCACCAAAACTCGTTAAGTAGCCCTCCAGCCAAAATAATTGCCCATCCATGTTCTAACCCTCTCCCTGTCAACCATTTTGTAGACTCTATACCCATTGTAACTGCATACTAAATGAACACGTGAACAAATATCACCTAACAGGCTATAAGGGCACTTACACACATACACGCAGTTTGCTCTGATGTGCTACAAATTCATTAATTGAGTCTGCAGAACATGCGAGTCTGCAGAGCACATGATTAATTGAGTCTGCAGAGCACGCGAATTGACACGCCCAGTGCTGCATCGCATGCATTTGTATAAATGGCGAAATGCACATCAGTGCTGAGAAAATGGGGGATGTGCACTTTTGAACTAAAACATGTTTGATATGTTTTAGTTCAAAAGTGCACCACTGCCATTATCTCAGTGTTGATGCACATTTTGCTGTTTATACAAATGTACCCAATGCAGCGCCTGGCATTTTTAGAAGTGCCTGGTGCTGCATCACATGTATGTGTACAAATGCCCTAAAGGCCTTTTCTTCCCATTTATTAGATAAAACCAAAAATATTAGGCATATGATCCAAAAAATTAATTTGATGATAGCTGACACATACAAACTTAAATTTAGAATATGGCTTTTTATTGATTAAACTGTTACAGGTTACCTTTAGAACTTTTTAAATCTGTGAAATGTTGTGCTGTTGTAAAGTTAAAATAGTTTCAAAGCAGTCACAGTTTAATTCTGTCTCAGACCTAGATAACTGTGGCTTGCCACTAGAAGATCTGGTAAGCAGGGGTGTGGAAAGGTGCCAGGACTCTATTCCTCCTTTAGGGTAGAAGAAGGGATAGGATGGCATGTAGCTAGAAGGAAGAGAAACCACCATGGGGTCTATGACTTCCTGCACTCCACAGCCAGCAAGAGCCATCTGGAGCTTTGGGTGGGAGGGGAAAAGTGTTGAAAAAAAACTGTGTAAAGTGAATGGGCAGGGGGGAGAAGTAAAGAGAAGTGAAAGGAAAGAAGTGAAAATAATAACACTGTAATATTAATAATAATAATATCAAAATCTTGCATATGTTCCACTGAACTGGGCTTGGGTTGGGGAGGGGAGGGGTTTGGGTTAGTACTTACACCAAAGGAGAGCTGAGACCCACGGGGATCACTGCATACCACACTGGGGCAGAGCTGAGACCCCATGCATTCCACGTCAGGGCAGAGCTAAAATCCAGCTGGAAATGGTTTCTGTTGTTTGGCTCATACTCTTCATAGAGGTAAGTAGAAGGATTGCTGTTGCTGTTCGCATGTGGGTGTCAGAGCAGACAGCAAACTGGTGAGTTGCATCTGGATGCTTAGAGTGGTCAAGATATCCTGGGGTCTTATCCCTGGAGGGCAGCAGGGGGTGTTGGCTCATGGTCAGCACCCCCCCCCCCCAGGAAGTAGTTTAGAAGGGTTAAAAGCTTGTTCATGGAGGAAAGGAGTGGGGAGAGGCTGGTAATGGTGCACCTTGGGATGCTGGAGGAATGAAAATAGAGTGTTTTATTTTCCCAGAGCAGATTAACGATACCTTGGAATGACCTGGGTAAAACTGATCAAAGATAAACCTCACCTACAGTTGCATACCTTTAAAAAGCTTAGAGGGTACTTAGCACAGGTTAACACCCTTTAATGAGTGAATGCTCACATTTTAATTGCCTTTATGATGATTTAAAGATAACCTCTAACACCACCCTAAGAAATGTAGCCATTTTCAGCATACATGCTTCTTATCCTTTAACTCTTATCCTTCTTATTTCAGGGAGGTTTAATACACTGTTAATCAAGTTAACACAATTTAAAAAGTTTTAACAAAACTTAAAATAGCCACTGACTTTTATATAAAAGAGATTAATCTAAAAAAATACAGCTTTTAGAAGGGTTTTTCTTTTGAAAGACATGTTTGGATAGAAAAATCTCTAGATCATCTTCCCCTTGTCTTAGACAAGACATGAGGGTCAGATGATAGCTAGATGCTCATTGCTAAGGCCAGTAGAGGTCAAGCATTTCATGGAAGTTTCACTCTTGTCTGCAATAGTTGGGTCTGATCCATTGGCAACACATAGGGGGTGCACATGCACTCCTTGAGCTTGGTGGTGTACCCCCTGCAAAGAGTACTGCCAACACCGCTGGCAGTGTCTGCAGGCAGTCCCTGATCACCACTGGCCACTGCCGCCACTGCCAGTGGTGTCTGCGGGTGGCCCCTGCCACACCCCTGCTCCAACACCACCGCCGACACCTGTGGGCGGTCACCATGCTTCCTAGCTTCCAGGGGCATGCAGCGTTCATGGTTTGATCCACTGTTCACCGATTCATTGGAAAATTTAATTTATTTCAGTGGATTCTAGATTCTGGTCTCATATACAAAACAAGAATTATTATTCAATATTGGTCTCATTATTTTTATATTACGCTCACCAGGAGTATGATAAAAGTCAGATGGAGAGAGAGCAAAAAAAAATTTAATGAAAAATGAAAAACCAAGGAGAAAACCTCAGGATGAAGGTATCACATCATGATAGTAATCTTCCAATCTTATACATTGTTATCTTTCTTGGAGTGCAATGGAAAATTCTTGAGGATCAAAACAAGTAACAGATAGACATTTTAAATTATCTGAGTTTTTCCAATAAACCCTGAATTATTTTCAGACAGCTAATTCAGTCATTACTTACTATATGATTAGAGAGGATTTTATGATGATAATACATACAAGAAGTATGAAAATGCTAGTCAGGTTTCAGCGGGGTTGGGGGGTTTTTAAATTGTACATTTTCCAGTCTGGTCCAAAGAACTTTCTGTAAGCAATAATTAAATAGTTTGCTCTCTCTTCCACTTCTTCTAGCACCACAGTAGATCAAATTTCTGACTCTGACAGGAAGGAGCTGGATTTGTTGTCTGACTGATTAAATGATGTGTAAGCATCAAGCAAAGTGGAACTTAGCTATGCAGGGAGGAATAAACAGGAAGAAATAAGTCACTCTGACTAAGTGACTACCTTCCAAAGAGAAGCACAAGACTGAGTGCTAACACTCTTCCTTCCCCCCAAACAGGAGAAAAGTCCAAATTTCTTTTTCTCCATGCAAGGGTACTCAGAGTTTTACTTCAATGTGGACCATGGGTACCTGGAAGGACTGGTCCGAGGTTTTAAAGCTGGGATCTTGAGAAATGCAGACTATGTCAACTTAGCACAATGTGAAACACTGGAAGGTGAGTCTATTAGTTTACCTTATTAATAAAGAAATAGTGTTGGCTAGAACTTTGAAGAAAACTAAAGAAAAGAGGGAGGTTAAAAAGAAAGTTAAAAAGTAGGATAGAAAGATGTTGTTTAAGAGATTAAGTGGTAACCGCTTTTTCTTTTATGAAAATATCCTAGAGAACTGAATAGGATGAAGGCAAGAGGGCTGTATAGAAAGTACTCTATAAATCTATAGGTTGAGATTTTTAAAACAGTTTAGGTGATTGGAGATTCCAGCACCTCTAAGGCACTTTAAAAATCATAGCCAGAGAAAGTTATTGAGATAAATACCTTCCGAGATGCATTTTTAAAATCATTCTGTAGAATTCTGCAAAGTTATATAGTTCTCTTTTGGGCTACACAGAATGGTTCACAGAATCCTAAAGAAAATGTATTATTTGGTATTAACGCTATTAACATATCTCAAAAATAGTTCCGTTCTTAGTACTTTAGTACTTACTAGTTTTCAGAGTGCTAGGAGGCATTCTTTGGAACAAAAAAGGGAAATTTGGCTTTATGGAGGTAAAATTGCACTAGTTTTTAACTTTGAAAGGCTTCTGTGAAGGTGACTTTGTTGTAGTGGTAAACAGAACACATGATTGTTCCTAAAACAGTTTTTCTGCAGACCAAACTGGTCACAACCTGAATAATGCAGATTTGTTGAAAGCAGAGAAGCAGCTGTTGACCCCTCTCCAGATATTTCTGAAAATATAAACACAGCAGGAACCTTCTCTTCTGGAAATAGTTTCTTTTCCTCAATCAAGATAAAAATTATAATAGTTTACAAAAATCTTTTACATTATTTACGATAGACAGACAGACAGATTTACAGGTATAGTGAACAGAAATATAAGGTTCACTGTGTCTTAAGCATTAGTGGCTTTTCTTATGCAGTGATGGTGGCGTTGTGGGTAGGAAAGGAGAAGCAGCAGCTGAAAGTTATCCAAACATAACCCCCACCAACTACCATATTACATGATAAGCCTGGCAGTGTGATCAGTTTCTGTAGCATCTTTTGTACCTATAATTATGGTGTAAAAAATCTGTTGATATTCTGCTACAGCAGGTAATTTCCATGAATCAAATGACTCCTATTCAATGAATTTACAAGCCCTTCTGGGAGAGCTACTAGAGCTCCAGAACTTTATGAAACAGCATGGACAAATGACTAAATTATTAAACTGATCTTTCTCACTTCCTTTGTCCCCTGGGGAATGCAGAATAGATTTATAGGTGATGCTTCCCAAGTCTTCTGCAGAGTATAAATATGTTTCTCAAAGAGGGAAACAATACCCTGATTTAGGTGTGTTTTTAAATGTTCAAAAATAAAGATTTAATTATATTTGAGAGAAGCAGGAAGTAATTAGTGTGTACATTATATGTTATATCTAGTGGGCGCATCTACACATGCAGCAGACTGCACAGTTGTTACTGACTTAAGCGGGCACTAAATGACTGTGCAGTAACTGGTTTTACTGTGCAGGCCCATTGCCATATGGTTATTTTTAACTGCTACTGCACAGTAGCAACAAGCTACTGCATGCCCGATAATATTACAACGCTATCACAACGATCCACAGCACAGTAGTTTGTTGCTACAGCTATGTAGTGTCTTGTGTAGATGCACCCAGTCTTCTGGAATTACCACTTCCAGCCCCATGGGCATGAAAACCTATATATTGTTTAGAGGAAGAGGAAATTAACAGATTATACAGTGTATTTAGTAGTATAGTTTCTGTCCATAGGTTAAGTCCTAAATCAGGTTAAGTTAGGAAAAGTATTGCACAATATTAAAAAAGCATACTAAAAACTAGAATCAGAGGCCTTTTAAATTTCAAAGTTGTTTGGATATTTACTTTGCACTTGGGTGAGAATCACAATGTAAGTACAACTAAGCTGGGGAGGGTATTAAAGTGGCTTTAGGCCACCTTTGCACCTTCATTTCATGGTCTGCTCCAGGATAGAAAAGGCCTTCACTATAATTTGTATACCAAGGTGACCTGTTTCCAAGAAGTTACCCTATGGCCAGCAGAATTGCCACACAACTAGTGGTGTGGTCCTGTCCCCAACATACCAGGCCTTGCAATGAGAGCAAGCCCTAAATGATTAGCCTTTGTCAAAATCCAGGCTGTAGTCTTGGCAGTAAAATGAGCAACCAATGGTTAGAAAACATACTAGGATTTGGAGACCTGCTTCCATTTGTTGGTGCACCAAAAACTTTTTCATGACCTTGAGCCAGTCATTGTCCCTGCATCAATTTTCCATCTGTAAAAGGATAACAATGATGATTCTCTACTTTACAAGGGCGTCACAAGGAAAAATTATTGAAGACACACTGTACAGTGAAAGGGATTGTGAAAGTACAAGGTACAGACAAATGTGCTGATATGATGAATCCCTGGGTAGGTTCCATGTAAACCACTTTTAAATTGTAGTTCAATGGTGAAGTTAAGTCAGTAGAGTGCTGCTTTTTGCTGGTCTTATATATCTTAGGGTGCCTCTAAATGTGTAGGTAAAGGTGCAATAGGATCTAATGCATGATCAACACAAATGCACACATGCATGGCAAGAAGTGTGATTGTGGATCATATATTAGATCCCACTGTGCCTTATTAGACAGTGGATCATGCATTAGATTCCATGGCACCTTATTGCTGGTGCAGTGGGAGCCCAATCCTGGGCTCCCCCTGCACTGGCAAGAAAGAAGCAAGGTCCCTCAGCTGGGAGCCCCCACAGCTGAGGGGCTCTCAGCCACTGGGGTGCCCATGAACCCCCAGGACTGACTGGGAGATGCAGTTGCCATGATCTCCCAGCCTTACAGACACATAAAACCCGCTTTGGATGGGAGATTGCAGCTGTGCCTTGTGACTGATGGGACCCTGCTGGGTCCTGGTACTGGGAGGAACACTGCAGGGAGCCCAGCATCTGCAGCTGCAGGACTCTGGGTTTCAGCAGCTGCAGGGTACTACTGGGATGGTACATTCCTATGGCTGAGAGTCCCATCAGTGGAGCTCCCAGCTGCAAGGGAGACCCTGCTACACATGCAAATTAAAGCTAGATAGCAACCAGCTATAAGGTTAGTACACATTTTTGAGGTCTAACTTTATAGCTGGTTGGAGCTTTTTATGGCATGATAGTACTTTGCACGTGTTGCTGGTCTTGACATAATAGTGCAATTAACCAGTTAATTGTGCGATACCTTCAATGTGTAGAGGAGTCCATAGTATGTACCATAGCCCATGACCATAGCATTACAATACCTTTGATACGAGAGCAGCATCAAGAGAAAAGTCCTTAGTAAACTTCATGGACTTTTATACTTCTTCTTTCAAGGGGCTAGAATTCTGCTTGAAGAAGGATTTTTGAGGGAAATGGGAGTTTGGAGGCACTTGGGTTATTTGAATTGTTTTACTTACAGTGAGGCTTTCTCGAAAAGTTAGATTGTTGCCAAATTTCCTAAAAATGGATCTACCCATTCACCTATAGAAATTATTCCACAGCCAGATCTCCTCAACAAAGAATGTTTTATGAAGTACTTACCTTCTTCCTGAGCTTTGATATTTGCATTGTCATGGTGGTTCATAGATAAAATTTATTCTTTGATGTAGTTGCAGATTAGGCGAATTATTGCTTTGAAATTAAGTTGTAGCCCATTAACTAATAGGGGAGTTGATTAGGAGCCAGTGTAGAGACTGGATCACAAGACTGATGTGCTCACAGCAATGTGACACATGCAAAATGTGGGCAGTGAGATTTCACATCAACTGGAAGCCTTGCATTATCTTTTCATTTATATTCTGATATGAGTTGCAGTAATCCAGCCTGGAGATAACAAAGGCATAGATTACCATGACCAACTGGGGGGAAGAAGTGAAGTTTTCTAGAAAAAAGATGACTTCTGAAAACTGATTCTACCTGGTCATCTAAGCATTGCAAGTTGAATTGAATCACGACACTTTACACAACTTGGATGAGTTGGGGGATCTGTTTGCCTTTCACTGGAGGCCAAGACAAGGCCTTGGCCAGTCCTTTCTGACCAGTATCACTCTGATTTTGCCTGGGTTTAGCTTAAGCTATCTGTTAGTTGTCCAAGAGCTAATTTCCTGCAAATATTCTAACATTTAGTAGTTGCACCAGGAAATATGACAGTTGTCAGCATATTGCTGGTAGCTAAGCCATGGCATTGGCATCTCACTGTCTCTCCCAGGTATTGAAAATAAAGACTAGTATAGCTTCCCATGAGATTCCATAGGTGAAGGTCTACAGAGTACAATAATACTTGGCCATCATGATTAAATTCTGTTGGAGAAGTATATTTGGAAGCAGCAACATACCTTGTGTCAAAGACATCAGAGTGGTGTAGCAATATTAGTATGGAGATCTCATTTGTGTAAACAGCTACAAGGAGGTCATCATATAGTGACTAGCACAGTGTCTGTCCTGTGCACTGGTCTGAACCTCAACTGTGGTATACAGGATGTCAGCTAAAATTATATACTGTTGGAGTTTGGTGGCTACAGTTTTCTCAACTAATTTATTCAAGTATATATGGCTGAAGATGGAAGAGCTGATGAGGAGATCCTTAAGGTCAAACACTGGTTTCTTGAGGATTGGGAAAAACACTGCCTTTTTTTCTATTAAAAGAAGGCATTTCTCACTGGCTCTTACCAAACAGAAAGGATAAAGATGAATTTCACAGTTTATGGAGCTAATCTTTTTCAGAGTACTCTGCTTTGGCATGAGCCAAACTTAGTAATGGTAGCAGTCTGAAAAGGTAGAATTTTCTGTCCCAGTTTGCTCCATACCTCTCATGTTGATCTTATCACTAAAGCTGAAAGCTTTTTATAGTGCTTGATGCTTATATCTGGGTAAATTAGCCAGCTAACCCTTTAAAAGCAGGATCCTGGTATCTCAGGATACCAGAAAGGAAACTTTGAGGATATCAAGGCAGATGAATCAGTAGCAAAAATGAAAATAGACTGCATATTACTTGATTTCCAGTTCTCTACTTATGATGCATTTGTGCACTCTAACCCCTTCCTTGTGACAAAAAAAAGAAAAAGAAAAAAATGGTTACGGATAATTTTTCTCTTAATAAAAAAGGTAGGTATATGATACAAAGTATAGCAAGTATAAAATTATTATAATTGTTCTTATACTTTTAGATTTGATGTAAGCATAATTCTATATAATACATGTTTGATTATTTTTTCTTTTTCTCTAGCTATTTTCCATAGATGACTTTTAGCTGAGTATTTTCCCTGTTGAACATTTGGACTCTCTCTCTCCTTCCTGAAAAGGCCTGTACTGTAGAACTCTGAATATTTCCAGTTATCTGACTTCATCTTCTTTGTGCTTGAAAAGATACAAGCTTTAAAGTTTTTGTTGGCAGCCTTGTCTTTAACTCAATAAGACTTGTTTAATAAGCATCCTTTATTAAAGAATTTGTTTATAATAGTAGTATTCAGCGTTGTTCAGAAGGCTCTAGAGACAGTTGCACATGTATTAACTGGGACAAACCTTCCCAGTGAACATATGTGATGCAAGTACGGCAGTGAGTTTAAGTGGCAGTATCTCTGCATAAAGCACTCTGTAAAGTTATCCACACAGGGAAGTTACTGCATAGTACCCTTGGGTATGAATTTACAGTGCACTATCTTGTGTTCTGGGAATTTTGAATGCAGAGTACCAAGTATTATAATTAATCTAGTACATTCTGAAATTCTCCACTTGGGAATTAATTTGAAAATGCAGTCACTGAAAACACAAAATAAGCCCCATAACATTATCCAAAACCATTATCTTACAACAACTGTGTTAACATAATATAGGGTTATATATTATAACATATAATATAAAAATGCATTCTTTCTCTCTCTCTCTCTCTCTCTCTGTATATATATATATACATTCTATTCTATTTATATATATAAATAATGCAACATTGAAGTGGCTTTTTAAAATGAGATGCAAAATTTTCAATATTAAGAATAGATCCAAATCCTTTCTTCTGCCCTGGGGGTGAAATGGTTATACAGCCTTGGGAGAATGGCTAAGGGACTCTACGTAGAGGAATCTTCTGGTGGCACAGAGTTGCTGACCACCCCACTTTCTGCCCCAGCCAGTGCAGACAGCATGGACATGATACTGCTATGTTCACAATGAACCCAGCTTCTGAGGCAGTTCCTTGAGGGATGCTAACAGCAGAAGTAAGTTACAGCAGTCTAAAGGTCAGATAACTCAAATGTCAAGAGAGCATAAGAGTGATCTTTCAAACCCTCTTCAGCTACACCATACATAGCGCTTAGCCACATCCCAGTATCTGATCTGAGCAATACCATTACATTTTACATTTGAGCTCTGCTGCCTATCTCCTCACATGCCTTGCTATATGATTATATTGCTATATGATGATTAAATAAGCCACATGAAAGTCATAAACCAGATTCAATTTTGGTTTATCTCAGATCCTACCACCATAAACTAATTCATGGAAATCCTGGCAAAAGAAAATTAATTGGAGAACAATTATTCCATTGCAGAAAGCTCTCTGAGAACTAGTGCAGCCAAAATAATGCACAAGGTAAACTTGGGAGGGGGGAGGGCAAAGGAGTGCATTTGGGAGATTTGTTCCCACAGTCTTATCAATAGGACTCTCTGGTGATTAAACCTCCTCCCCTAGTGTATGTAGTCTTTGAGAGAGGAAAAACTACTTGTAAACTTCTCCCCCATCCCTAGCCCCCGTGTAGAATAAATCTTGTTTGAAAAGGAAGTGCAGTTGCTCTAAAGAAGGCAATGGCTAGCCTTCCTTTGACTTCAGTGGAATAAGATTAGGCCTTTACTGATCAAATATAGGGTTTTAAAGAAAAGAAAATGTAAGATTATTCCAATTTGTTCTATTTCTATCATAATGACAAATTATACTCATAGTTTCTTTTGAATCTATTTATAGACTTGAAGTTACATCTACAAACCACAGATTATGGAAACTTCTTAGCCAATGAAACTGGCCCTCTCACAGTTTCCACCATTGATGACAAATTGAAAGACAAACTACTCACAGAATTTCATTACTTTAGAAATCATGCTTTTGAGCCACTTGCCACATTTTTAAACTTTATCACGTAAGTAAAGTTACCTCCTCATTTAAACTTATACCTCTTTTAAACTTAAACCTCATTTGAACATTAAAAATAAATGTATATCCAACCAAATATTACAAGGCTAAGAAAGGACAATTTCTTGTTCTTGCAATTTACATACAACTGGGTGAAAAGTGATATTTCTGTGACACTAATATTACAGAAGTGAAGCTGAGTGTTTGGAAACCTAAATAAAAGCTATTCTTATTGCACAGTGAGGGACTACAAAATGGGATTTCTTCTCAATGCAGAGAGGGAATCAGATTGGGAGATGGTATTTATAAATTCTAAAATTATGATTTTCTTTAATGCTAGGGACTTTTTTGGCAAGATAAACAATTTCATGATATTCAGGATAGTTCAGGATAGCAATTCTAAATAAGAACACATATAACAAGCTCTGTAATTAATTTAAAGGTGACAGTCTAAATTTGAACTGAGGTGCCATATTTTTAACATACAATTTGAACATAAAAGCAAGACAATTTTCTCTGACCGGAATATTAGCTTTGGTTAAAAAGCCTGTATTCTATGTTATATTAAATTAATAGAATGATCAGGTCTTGATACAACTCACAAATTTGTGATCTTAACAAGATGTTAATGAGAGAACAGAGACCTGTTTTATGTTGGGATGTTTACCTGTTTACTCCAGATAGGAACAACAACCTTGCAAGGTTTTACTTCCTGGATTATTTGAAGGCAATAATGTTTTACTTGACACACAAGTTATTTTTTTTCTCGTGACAGATGAGTTGGTTTTGTGTCTGTACTAACAAATTGTGTCATGATGACTGAAGACTGCACTAGAATAGATGTATACCATTGCTGTGCAAAATTCAGCTACTGGTTCACAGAATTTTGCATACACAGCCACATGTATGCTCCCATACATGAATAGGCTCTTCCCAATAAACACAGATGTTTTGCAGTACTGCAGGATAACACTATTTTATGGTACATGACATGCCTTTCACATCATTGAATAAAAGCTGCAGGACCTGTTAGCACCCTCTCAAATTTTGCATAAGAAAGTCCATTCATTCGTGTGCTTCTCTAGTAGAATTCTGGAGGAGTGAAGCAAAATGAAGATTAGTATCTATATTATAAATATCAGAGGTAAACACTATCAAATCTATCCCATTCACATTTGTCAGTCCCTCAGGGTATGACTATACCACATCCCTAGGACCATCAAGGAAGGGCACAGTCATGCCCTGCATACCTTCTCCCACTTACACATCAAACCTGGTAATGTGGCAGTGAAGCTGTTCTAGGGGTGTGCTATAGGACTGCTCTCAAATATGCCAGACTCTTAAACTTGAGAACAACCACCTGGGGCATCTCTGGAGAAACTTTCCTGATACACTTAGGGGACAGGTGAACAAGGCCTGCAGACCTCCTGTTTGATCACATACACTAGTTCTGTATACTTAGAGCTAATCCATTTCCACCCTACTTGAGTTTCCAAACCACTATTCAATCATCTTATTTTGTAACACACCTTTATCTTAGCCTTCAGTCACAAAAAGTGGCAGGAAGGGGGACTCACTGACTTTTGGGATAATGTTTTTTCAGGGATTCACGCAGTGTGGACTAAGATTGCCTTAGACACCTAATATGTTGAACAGGATTCAGCCTGTAGCATTTAACAGTCCTGATAGTGCAGTGCAATCATTTTGGAATTGTGTTACCAAGAAATTAATCTTCACCATAAGGATGGTTGCAGAGCTTGAGACAAAGGCACATTAGTTGTTATCAAAAGGTATTCTATGGGAGGGAGAAGTATTCCAGAAAAGCTTTAGTTTTGAGAAGATGCTGCTGCTAACCCAACACAATGTGCTTTTGGTGCTATCTATGGTCAGACCTTAAAATAAAATCAGACTCCAAAGCTATGCAATTGACTATTTTACTCATGGTCTGGCTCCCACTTCTCTTTAGAAGTTCAAAAACACTTGTAAGTCAAAGCAACTTTAGGGTTCAAAATTAATATTATCTAGGCTGCTATCTAGCAGTCCTTATTTTTACTATCTAGCAGTCCTTATTTACTGGAAGGGTCTGAGCAGCTAGCAATGTTGCAAGTATATGGCGATTTATGACCATAAGATCTCTTTTTAAATTAACAAATAGTCTTCTCTTTCTCACTTTTTTCAAAGCAAACTTCCTTAAAAGGAAAACAAGCCTTTTTCCCCTTTTGTTTTTCAAATTTAGGTACAGCTATATGATTGACAATGTGATTCTCTTGATAACTGGTACACTGCATCAACGTCCAATAGCTGAACTTGTTCCGAAGTGCCATCCATTGGGCAGTTTTGAGCAAATGGAAGCAGTCAGCATTGCCCAAACACCTTCAGAGCTTTTCAATGCTATTTTGGTTGACACGCCATTGGGTATGAATGATGATTTCTCATTTGTTTACAGATGTTCCTCCTCTTGTGCTGTTGATAAGCTCACTTTATATCACATCATTTGTTTCACCAGATATTATAGGATTTTAAAATTTAACTTATAAACAGTTAATAAATATGTTGCTCAGATACTTTTATACTCAAACAGGCACCTTTTATATACCTGGGGTAGTCAGCACAAACAAAATATTTTAGGGAAATGGATATTTTTATAACTACTTTTCAGAAATATCAAATGACTGATAATGGTTGAGTCCTTTTTTCAAACTTTAGACTTGCTAACAGGTGTTTATCTAAGTGAAATATGTATAAGAAAAACCTATCCAAATTTCTGTAGGTGCAAAGGCTCCCTAGTAAAAAGCCACCAGTTATTAGTAGTGTTATAATAGCAACTGGGGTTAGGCATCCAGTGGGCATGTTACAAACAGAAAGAGACAATCTCCATCATGAAGGATGTGTAATCTAAAGACAAATCAGACGAAGGGTTGGGGATACAATACAATACAATTTACAAGCAAAGTAAGATGAAGAATTAATGGCTACACAAAAGTGAGAATGTGGTGTGCAACTCCTGCACTACTATTTTGAGTTCAGCTCTGTGGGTATTCCTTGTATAAAAAAAAAAAAGGTAGAGCAAGAATGGACTAGGGACAGATGAAAGCTAGAGTATCCTCTGTTATCCTCTAGCTCTTCCACTATACAGTCAACACACACATAGAGGATGTGCCAGGAAGGGAAGAATATCCCAGCACTTAGGTATGAGTAAGAGTATTGTTACACATTACAAGTAGCACGTACATATGCTAAAGACAGTTAAAGCATGACTGTTTGCATGTTAGAGAGAGAAAACTTATGCTAGATGCTCTCTGAGCATCTCAAAACTATGCCACTTTGGGTGAGAAATGTCTTTGGGTTGTGCTTATGTTGTAGAAATGTCATTTGGCTCCCAGCAGTCAGTCAGCTTCCACAGAAATAAAATGAGCAATTTAGGTCCTCCAGCATCCCAGAATGCATCACTTCCAGATTCCCACTCCATGAACTATCTGGACACCCTCCCAAACTCTACTGCCCAGAAGGTGGTATTGCCTGGGGGGCAGGCGGGGTCCTGCCAGTAGAGGGGCTGCCACAGTGCACCCCTTGTCAATACAACAGCCCCAAGGCCCAGCAGGCAGATCATGGTGGCATCCTTGTGGCCTCATGCTCCTGCTACACTAAACCTCTTCCCAGAGGCTGGAGTTCCATGCTGGTAGGGTAAGACATCAAAAGAGGAGTTTGCACAGTAAGAGCATAGACCATGTTTTCCTTCTCCTGGCAGCAACATGCTCTGGCTTCCTCTACCAGCACAGAGCTGCAGCTACTGGGGGAGGGTTTAGTGCTGCAGGAGTATGCTTCTCCCTCCCTTCATGATTCTGCTGTGATAAATCTCCTCCTAACAGCTGTGGCTCTGTGTTCCTAAGAGAAGCCAGAGCATAGAGCTGCCAGAAGGGAGCGAGTCAAGCTCCATGTTTTTGCCATGCAAACCCTCCTCCGGGCAACTATAGCTTCATGCTCCTCTGAACACCACCAATAAGTTGTTTACTCTGTGTCCTTCTATGTCTCCCATGGCTACATCTGAGACATTATCTGAGAGCCATGGCATGGTGAGAGGGGAAGCTAAGGGGTTTGGTGGTGCTGTGAGCAGCAGGGCTTTGTACCAGTGAAGAGTATGCCTAAACAGGGGTCACCAGTTCTGTGACGGTTTACTGGTCCAGAATAGGCTCCCTCACTCACACACACAGAGAAATCGAATCTACAGTGACTGGGCTAAGAGTTCTGGGGCTGCCTTAGGTATTCTAGGAGCTAGAGTTGCCCCTGGACTGTATCTTCTTCTGTTTGATCCTACATGTTTTGTCCACACTGCAGGCACTGCTTGGAGCTGCAGACACTAGGTTGCAAATGTAGTTGAGGCTTTGCTGCATGACCCTGCCATTCCTCATTGCTCCTCCAAAAGACCATCTCAGAGTCACTGCCAATTCTGTCCTGGCTCTGAAGCTATATATTAGATCACTGCCTGGCAAGTACCAGAAGCCTGTAGTGAAGTGAATCCTCCATTCTCCAAGAGCTTGGGAGGATGGGAGCACAGGGCTGCAGGAAGTTCCCCTGCTCTAACCCCCAACAACCTTCCCAGAACAGGGATTGACATCCTAGCACCTAGCCAAGACTGCTTGCCGGCCCTCTAGCAGTTAGTCACAGCTGTGCAGATCAGATATGGTTGCCTTAAAGTGCAGCTGCTTAGAGCACATTCTGACTTTAATACCACATAACTGTCCTCAGATTTAGCATGTACTCATCGTCAGGGTGTAATGTAACACCCACGTTTCTGCAGCCCACCTCCAAGATGAAGGAAAGAGGATTCTTCTTCTCATTGCCCACTACAAATCTCCCTTAAGCCCAACCCATTTATTTGGGAGTAAATAAAACACTTAAAATTGTAATTTTATTGTCATTTCTCATTTGAAACTTTCTGGAGATTTATACATTTGACACTGAACTGCTTGATTAATTTCCCTCCCACCAGAGACCAAGTATAAAGAGAGAGAGAGAGAGAGAGAAAAACAAGAACCAGGAGGATTTCAAAATGTTTTCCTTCCCATCTTGCCCATTAGTCTTTTTTGTGCAATAAAACCTCCAGGTTCTTGCTTACAAAATCAATAGATGACTACTAGCCAGAGATACCTGCATATATACAGATGAATTTACTCTGTAATTAAAAAAAATTCTGCTTTCAGCTGATTTCTTTCAAGACTGCTTGTCTGAGAATGACCTGGATGAAATGAACATTGAAATAATGCGTAACAAACTGTACAAGGCAAGTAATTTAATACTTACACGTTTGTATCAGTAGATCTTGAGGCACACTGCAGAGGAGATTATCTCCATTTACTGGGGTTGTTCCCATTTTAGTGATGGAGAAACTGAGGCATAGGGAAATGAAATGAGACATACTCCTGAGACAGAACTGAATCTAGGTTTCCAGAACTCTACATTTAAAATGGTACATTTAAAATTTCAAGTTCTATGTCCATGCTCTAATTTGAAATCTCACTTAATGAAAATGCTTTTTCTGTAAGGCCTCTGCCCACATCCATTTGTTTATTAAATAACTAAATCATCCATCAAAATCACAGAATTGCTAAGCTTAAGAAACCAAAGTAGACTCTTTAGATTGTTCTGTTTGTTTGAAAGTGCTATATATTTGCATTTAAAAGTGCAAATAAGTAGAAATAATTTACAAGTGCAATTTGTTGTATTTATGTTTGTTAAATCTCTGTCTTAATCCACTCTTTTAATTCTTCCAAGTCACATAGGAGAGAAAAAAAAATTAAAGCTAAAGATCATAAAATAGGAAATTAGGGAAGAAATAACATATTTGTCTTTCATTTGATGAAAATGTGAACAACAGCAATATACAGAATACTTGTATAGCAAAAGCAGTATTATTTGCACTTGTAAATGCAAATACATAGCACTTGAGCTTGTTAGTACTCTTTCTTAACCCTCTCTTAATTCCTCCATGTGGTCATGGGGACCATTATAACCTGTAATAAGAATTCCTTCCTTCATTGTTCTCAGGTGAGATGTGAATCTGATCATTATTTTAGCCCTAACTTTAGGCAGAACTGTTTTGGATCCAACATGAAATCCCATGCACAGCTTTAAAAGGGCTGTCACATTTATGATTACTGTGTAGCTAATAATGGCTTCTTTTGATAAGATCATGTGATGCAGTAGAAAATGTCTTTCTATAACATAAAAGGATAATACTACTTGTGAAATGCTCTAACACTGGATATGGCTAGGTACACCTTTAAGACATACTCCCAGCATGCTGTCACACCTTCAGAGGTGCCCCTTAGCCCCAAACTCTTCCCTACTGTCTGCTAGGGCTGCGCAAAGCTTTGGTAGCTGATTTGATTTGGAGGAGATTTGGCCCAATTCGGCAGCCAAATCTCCAAATCCGAATCAAATCGGGAGACCCATTAAAAGGTCTGAATCGATTCAGAAGCCTCTGAATCAATTCAAATCTCTCCGGCCATAGACTATACAGGCAACAGTCCTGGACGACACTGGACACAGCTGCCTTCAGCTGGTAAGTCTGTTGTGGTGGGTGGAGGGAGGAGGGCAGATCAATGCCCCCGCAGCAAGGGAGGGATTGGGGCTAGGGCTGGAACAAGCTGCCCAGCCGAGGCAGGGGGGCATGGACCTTGGGGAGGGGGGCGCCTGCTACTGCATGCTGCCGTGCACCACTGTTCCAGGAACTGCTCTTCCAGTGGCTCCTCTGGTGGCTCTCACCGCTGGTCTGAGAGGTAACGGGACATGTGCCCTCAGATCTGCACGGGGTGGGCTGAGCTCTGGGAGGCTAGCCCCAGCTGCCCACTGCCGGGTTGTGCTCCACAGGACGGGTGGAACCAGGGTTGCGCTCCAGGCAGCTAGCCCCAGCCACAGCCTGCAGCGCAGCCCTGGCTCTGCCCGCCCCACAGAGCACAATGGAGCAGTGGCTATGGGGGGGGCTGCAGCCACCCTAAAATTCCCCATAGTTCCTGCTGCCGACCCTGCCCCAATCTGGGTGCACACTCCTGCCCCTGCTCACCCAGCTGGGGCAGAGTGGGGCGAAGCTGTAGCTTGTCCGGGAGGCATGGGGAGGCTGGAATGGCTTCTACCGCTGCGTGCCACTTGTCTGAGGCAGTGCACACCATCCCGTGCCTCCCCAGCCCGGCTGGGTGAGCAATGGGAAGCCATAGCCCCTGCTCCCAGCACTTTCCACCGCCCATCTGGAGCACGGCCTGGCCCAGCCTGCCCTGCGCAGATCCTGGGGCACGTGCCTGCTCCCATGCCTTCCCAGACCAGTGGCAAGAGCTGCTGGAGTAGCCACCAGAAAAGTAGCTCCCAGACCGGCAGTGCGCGACGGTGGGAGCCCCGCTACCCGAGCCCCGTGCCTCCCAGCCCAGCTGGGCAGCTTGTCCCTGCCCCAACCCCAATCCCTCCCTCACTGTGGGGGTGTTGATCTTTCCCCCAACACACCCCTTCCCTCTCCCCTCCACAACAGATTTACCAGCCAGCTGGAAGCAGCTGTGTCCAGCATCATGGAGGACTGCTGCCTGTATAGTCTTGGCCAAATCTCCAAATTGGTGCTGAATCTCCAATTCTGAATTGGCTGAATTGAACAGGGACAGTAATTTGAATCACTGAACCGAATCACTGTCCTTCCAAATCAGCTGAATCTGAAGCAAATACTTGCTGCTTTGCACAGGCCTACTAAGACCACTAAGAGCAGACTGATGTACTCCAAGAGCCACTTCCCTGACCTATGGCACCTCAGATTTACCCACCTTACCTGTGTCTTACTCGATCTTAGCAGCAGGGGGTTTTCAAGCTAGAATAAGATCGTTGGCCAGTAGCGGCACTCAGAAATGCTAGATCCCCACTTCCAGAGAAGATGCCTGCCTGTATGGTCAAATGCTCTAAGGTCATAGTTATCATTGCCAATAAGTGTGTTATAAATGATAATCAAAAGTTTATAAAAATAATAGCAAACAATAAATCAGTAACCATAAGATGAAATACAGAGAAGAGATATAAGAATAAACAAATAAAAGAAAATATCAGAACAATAATCTGATTTACACTGCATCTTAAACCCAAGAATTAAATTTTTATCCAGCTTAATAAATTAGAAAGCAGCTTCTGCTTCTGACCTTTCTGTCAGCGTCTTCTGCCGGAATAATCAGCCTCTTGGCTGACGGAGTCTAGTATTTCCCTATGGTTAAGCAAACTAAAGATAAACACCTGCTCTCATGGCAAGGCTTAAGTATGGCTTCTTGCCCATCCATTTACATACACTGACTTCTTGGAAAGCATGTATTATGCATATAACCTCCCTGCCCCGTGTCCCAGCTCGCCCCACCCCAGTATGTGTGTTTACCAAACCAAAAGCTTTTTCTCATCGAATTATGACCAGAAGAATATTTTCTTCTTTCCAGATGTCTGAAAGATACTCTCTTATTTAAGTTCTCCACCACGAGAAATATCCTTAGGTGATATTCATCACCTCTAAGGTCTCTCCTGTTAAAATGCAAACTTGTCATTGCCTAGAGGGCCTGTTTCACTAAGAACACATCCACCATGGTCTACTGGATGAGCAAACAAACCCATGTCAGAAGTTAATTCTCAGTAGGCATGTCTAAACGTGCAATTAACATGCCATTAATGAGCTCCTTGGCATATGTCTACACATGCGTCCTGCTGGGAGCAAACTGCACCTGACAGAAGCAGCCCAGTGCAGGGCTGCTCCTGCCCTGCTCTGCCCCACTGCAGCAGCCACGGGGGCTCCAGACTCCCTGGGTGCAGGGTACATGGAGGCTGGTTTCAATCCCCACCAGTTGGTGAGAACTATGCTGGCTGCAGGGGAAGCTGTTTCCCCGACCACATGGGGATTGGGACCCATCATGCAGATGTAATAACAATAAGGCTCAGTACAGCTCAACACTACTTATATGTAACTTACACATGCTATGTCAGTAAAAGAAATTCAAGAATACATGCATGACAGCCCAGAAACACCTCAAAATATAGTGGGGTCTGTAACACTACCCTAAAAAAAAATCTCAGACATTTAGAGGTTTGACTAACTAGGTCAGGTGCAGAGAGGAATCCAAGAGATAATCTCCTGACAATTAGAGAGGTATTTGCATTTTAATTTTTCAAACCCCAAATCACAATTACACACATGCCTAATTTTAAGATTGTGAGTAGTACAAGAAACTTCACTGGTTGCATTTATGTATTTAAACTAAATCTATGATCATATGCTTTGTTCTACTGGCACTTTAATATGCAGCTATTTAAAGTGTTCCATTTTTTCTTTTGTCCTTTGTTTAGTCTTATCTGGAAGCTTTTTTTAAGTTCTGTGAAAAGCAAGGAGGTACAACAGCAGAAATAATGTGTCCTATTCTTGAGGTAAGAGGTTGCAGTCTTTGCGCAAAATACTCAATGTTTTTGTAGCTCAATTACTTAAATTGTTTCTCTTGTTTTTAATTTTCCAATTTGTGAAACTGTTTTACCTGACAGTCAGTTTTGCTCTGAGTGATAAATGCTCTACTACGATCTGATGAAGTGATTCACTTTAGGGCCAAATTCAACCATTAGTTGAAGCAACCACTATAGTTCCAAGACTATGTTTCTATAGCTGCTAGAACACCAGAGAATTGATATGGTGTGCAGTTGATTATTCATTGCTAATAGTGAGGAAAACATTAAAAAAAACCCTAGGGGTGTACCGATAAAGATTTTCTTGGATACTGATAGCTGATTATTAACCAAGCACCCCTAGCCCCAGCCTCTGCCCCACTCCCTCCCTTACTGTGGGGGCCTTGATCTGCCCCCCCACCACATTCCTTCCCTCCCCCATACCCCTTGCCCTCCATAGACTTACCTAAGGGGAGCTGATCTCCATGCTTCCCAGCTGTATTCTTGGCCGTGTGCATGCATGCAGTCACGCACATGCATGCAGTGTCCCCTGTGTTTCACTCCCAGCTGCCTCAAGCAGGACCCGTTGCAGGCTAGAATGCTTCCCACTTGCACGGGGAAACCTGCCATTTTCTGAGGGAACCCAGACATCCAGGGCCCCAGCCATACAGGGAAGAGGGAGCCCAGGTGTCCAGGGCCCTGGCCAGAAGACATAAATATCAGTAAACATTATCAGCTACAATGGCCAAAAAAAGCCAATAATCGATAATGTCATTTCCCCTTTTATCAGTGCCAAGCTAATATGCAACCAATATATCAGCACACCACTAAAAAAACCCATTTTGCACCCTGAATCTATGTGCTGAATACCAAAATTCTCAAGTTAATTGATTTTCAAGGGTACTTATTGACAGCTATAGAGTGTATTAAAGGTATTATTAAAAAATAAAAAAGGCAAAAAACAAAAACTTAATGATAGCCTAACCATGCTCCCATTAAAATTAATGGTTGAAGTTAGAGTTGAGTGTAATTTTGCATTTCTGTTTCACAAGAAATTGCACCAGGTGTGGCAAGGGGGACTCCCTGACTAGCCACAGTGCTAGATTCCCCACCTGCCTTTAGGCATACCCCCCACCTGTCTCACCTGCCATGCCTTTGTGTTAATTAATTAGGATATTAATTAAGACGGGATATTGCCATTCTTGCCCAGATGCCATGGGGTGCTATCTGCAGCTCTGTTCCTCCCCAAGACTGCAGCCTAAGCCTTGCAGATAGCATCCAGATGTTACAATGCTCCCAGCCTACAGCCGGGCCAAGCTTAGGCCTTGTTGTCAGGTCTCAGTCACACACGCATTCATACCACCCTCCTCTCACTAGGGCCTCACACACTCCACCCCCTCTCACAGGGTCTCTTTCATGCATCGACAACTCAGACTGCCTTGCTCCCTCTTGGAGTGGGCCCCTTAGGCCATAGGCTTTACCTAGTTCATACCTTGGGTGGCAGACATACCATCTGTTGCACCTCTCCCGCAGCCTTCACTGGGGTAGTGGTCACGCAATTATCCGATCAGGTCTAAGCTTGCCCTGGCCCCTTCCCAGGGCAACTCCACACACTCTGACACACTGGGCTCCCAGCCCTCTGGTTCTTCTCCCCCACTGGGGTCCCTCCTCTCTATCCCTGAAATCCAGGAGAAATCCAGGGCAGCCTACGGGCCAAAAGGGGAGCACATAAAAAGTGGAAACAGGGAGAGATCACCAAAGAGGAGTATACCTCCTCTGCTCGCGCTTGTAGGGAGGCAGCTAGATGGGCCAAAGCTACCATGGAGCTGAGGATGGCATCCCAAGTAAAGGACAAGAATTTTTTTTTTAGATATATAGGGAGTAAAAGGAAGGCCCAGGGAGGAATAGGACCCCTACTAAATGGGCAGAAGCAATTGGTGGCGGACAGGGGGGACAAGGCTGAACTCCTCAACGAGTTCTTTGCCTCAGTGTTCCTAAGAGAGGGGCAAGACAAGTCTCTCACTGGGGTTGTAGGGAGGCAGCAGCAAGGTGCCAGACTACCATGCGTAGACCCTGAGATGGTGCAGAGTCACTTGGAGGAACTGG